AAGATGAAAGAGAAATAGTGAGAAGATGGAGAGATATTTGAGAGAAATAATCCATAACCAGTGTGAGAGGAGGTGAAGTGTGGATGCGACAATTAGGGTTTCAAGTGATAGTGAAGTGAATCGGGTATTTGTTGTCCTAAAGTTTGTTTAGGGCCATTGGATTTTAATTTAATCTAATGACTCATATGGTATTAGTTTTATGGGCTTTAACAAGTATGTTTAAAACATAAGGAACTTTGGGCCACACTTCTAATATATATGGGCTAGCATCTTCAATATAAAAATAAGAATATAATGGGTTTCTTAAACGAACTTGTTTATGAGCCTAATGAGCCGAGCTCAACATTGCTCAAGCTCGGCTTGTTTATTAAATGAACCTAAAAAATGTGTTCAAACTCGGCTCGTTTACTTCACGAATGAGCCTGAATTGATCTTTTAATGAGCCGAGCCCAACCTGTTCATGAACGGCTCGATTCATTTGTAGCCCTAGTCAAGAATTGCCTTACAATAAAATTCCTTAATTATAAAGAAATAACTTGTCTTTATGAAAGCAGTAGTGCGTTGTAAAAAGTGCAATCTTCAATAATATGAGACACATCCTAACAAGACGTTCTTTCTTCACAAAAACAACCTGCATCAGATCTCTTGAACTAAATTTGAATTTAAATTCAATCAATCAATCAATCTTGACAGGAAAATTTATAGGCATATAATAAAAAAACTTGGAACATGTACCCGTGAGAGCACGAATTTAAGTTCGAGATTTATTTTGTGTAAAGTAATATATCCAAAAGGGCGCGCAGTGCTTTTATTTTCAATAATACTAAAAATTAAAATTATTTTAAAATTTTCACCCAGTATTAATTAATTTAATTCTGTGTTAAAATGGAAGGTAGACTCAGATAGTGAATGTCCTTTTATAATCTAGTTACAACTTGTGGCTTGTGCCTAGCTAGCATGCATATGATCTCGAAAATGAACCATAAGATATATGCATTTATTATATTTTTCTCTTCTAATTCATGCTATCCTATACGGTTATACCCATGTACTCAAAGGATGATTGTGTTTTTCATTGTGGATAGATCAAAATGTAGGGTCAAACAAAAACAACCTCAATATCATTTTTAATTTATAATTGATGGGCAGCTTGTATTGCATGACTACTGGCCGTTTAAGGAACACTATGGCTGCATTTTCTACATTATAGTTTTATTTCTTAAAAAAAGACTTAAATCTGAATTTGATTATGACATACATTATAAATACAATATCTTTATTTTCTTTTATGTTATTTTATGTTTATGAGACAGTGTTGTTTGGTCTCAAACAGAACTGTCATTCAAACTTTTTACCTTGTCATCCATCTCAACCAACTATTTTCCATTTCCACAAAAGCCTAACACATTGACATCTCTCTCTCGAGCACAAAATGAATAAAACAATAGAAACCAACTTTGTGAGTTAAGGTACTGTGTGTTTGTTATTGTCTTAGTTTACACAAACGGCTGAACAGTTCAAGATATCGCATTCACTGGTTAGCCAGTAAATTCAATAGCAATACACTGGAGAAGGTTCAAAGCCAAAAACTACCTATCCTAATATAGTAACTTTCCGACTATATTCTCTCTAATGTCTGCATGATCATCTTTTTTATTTTACGCAAATTTCCATTCATGTGGGGGATTGTTCGAAACGGGGGCATTAAAAACATAAACTTTGGATGAGATTTGGAATAGATTCCGCTAATAATTTTTTACGGATCTTTAGACGAGCACATTTCTCTCTGCAAGGAGAGAATCAGTAATACCATCCTTCGAAAAAAGAATCAGTAATACACTATAGTATATATTTACATGGGGTAGAGTGGGAAAAATACTCCTAATATTTATATTTTGGGTAAATAATATCCCTATCATTTATATTGTGTATATAAGTTCGTTAAATTTGAAAAAAAAGAAGCAAATAATGACTTATGTTGTGTGTATAAGTTCATTAAGTTTGAAAAATGGGCAAAGAAAGGCTTGAAGTCACTATTAAGATATAAAATTTCAAAAATGCCCTTATTGACATCTCTCTCTCACGCACAAACAAAAAAACAAGAATTAGTAATACCATTTTTTGAAAAAAAGAATCAGTAATACACTGCAATATATATTTACACTGGTAAAGCTCCTAATATTTCCATTTTGGGCTAATAACAACCCTATCATTTATATTGTGTATATAAGTCAGTTAAGTTTGAAAAAAATGAGCAAAGAATGACTTATGCTGTGTATATAAATTCATTAAGTTAGAAAAATTGATAAAGAAAGGATTGAAGTCACTATCAAGATATAAAATTTCAAAAATGCCCTTATCTCTTCTAATAATACCCTTATATATATACACACATTGAACTGATGCCAGACATATCAAGTTGTCACAGCTGTTCCATTACCAGCAGTATTGATGATAAAGAAAAAAAATCAAAAAAAAGAAAAGAAAAGAGGGATAGTTTATTCATTTTACATTTAATTAGTTTTTTACCTATTTTTTTATTCAGCTATAGAGGGGTATTTTAGTCTTTTCAGTATTCAGGTCATTATTTACTCCAAAATTGAATGTTAAGGACTTTTTAGAACGTATAGAGGGTTATACACTTTATATGCATACCATAAGGGTGTTTTTCGCTCGCGACCCGTATTTACACTCCATTTTGTACCACTACGCACTTAACTTGATTTTTTTAAAGTTAAAATATCATATTACTTCTCAAAAATAAAGTGAAATTGTACATTTTGTGATTTTTTTTTTTTTTGGAAGGGTAGTTATATAAAAGGTAAATTGCACTTTCTAAAGTTTGGACAAATTACATATGAGTAGACTGTTCAGAGTTTATTATTTTGATTTTCCCTAATCTCATTCGTCGGATGTCGAAAAGTGACTTTGAGTGTAGAAATTCAGTAATGCCCTTATATTATAATAATATTGTATTACATTTTATATAAGAGAATGGCTAAAAGTGACGTTGAATGTGAAAAGTCAGTAATGCTCTTATATTATAATAATATTTTATTAATATTTTTAATTAAGAAAAAAATATTATATTAATTTTATACAAGGGAAGGGCAAAATTGTCATTTTATAAAATTTGGTCAATATGGGTCCTGCCAAATCTTAGGGGAAGTCCAAGTAACTTTGAATCGCTTGCTAGTATATAATTTGTTCAAACTTCAGGAGAGATTAGTGTAATTTATCCTTATATATATATAAAATTAAGTGAATGCAAGTAAAGAAAATGGAGTGCAAATTTTAGCAAACATGCCATAATTCATTAGCAAATAAGAGTAAAAAAAAAAATTCTTTTGGCACAAGCTTCTAGAGTTGGAACTCTCAAATCTCTTTTTTTTAGGAGAAGAGATTTTGCCAAGGAGAATTTTATTATTATTATTTTGTTTTGCACTCGGAGTACCATGTAATCGGTGTCATTTTAACCGACTATATTTTGTTACCATACATCGATTTCAGTGGGTCCTATAAATGTGACATGTCAAGATTTAATTAGTTATATCATGTCATTACTATGTACTCTTAGCGGATTCATTGTGAGAAAAAAGAAAAAATCTTATATAATTTTCAAAAAACAAAGCTAATAAATGCACCAGTGCCTCCAAATATTTGCAGCATTTTATTAGTTATATTATGTAATCAGTACTTCTGGCGCATTAAAGTTTTTCTCTTACCAACGGGGTAATCGTAATCGGTGTAAGAAAAAAAAAATCTCATAATACAATATAACCTCTATAAATTAATAGAGTTGGGACCACATAAATTCTATTAATTAAGTGATATATTAATTTATCAATAAATTAATAAGTTATTAATTTAACAAGATTTTTTGTACATTATTTATTTTTTTCAAAACATTTACCAAATATTATTTTTTTTCATAATTTTTGAGTGCATTATGAAAAATTAGAGATGAGATCCAACTGGACTTAAATTTCAAGAAAACACAAGCAACACTAGATTCATATTTCAAGAAAACATCATGATCAGCCATATATGTATTTCTTATCAAATTATTAATTTATGTAGTAAGTGGGACCAATAAAGACCTATAAGAGAAATTCTGAAATGTATTATGTTATAAATTTATTGAAATTATTAATTTAGTACCTTGTCCCAATTCGGGTTTGAGGTAATTTATAATTTAAAAGAGATTATTAATTTATCGAGTATTAATTTATAGAGGTTATACTATATTTTTAGAAAACAAAGCTTATAAATGCACCAGCATTGGAGCCTCAAATATTTTTAGTATTTTATTAGTTCTATAGTCTCATATAGTCATATGTATTTCTGGCGCATTAAAGTTTTTCTCCTGCCAACGGGACAATTGGTGTGAGCCTAAAAATTGTCAATTTTATTAATTATATCCTTTTTTTTAGTTATATCATGTCATCGGTGTCTTTGAAGCATTCAAATTATTCTCCTGCCAACGGGCGATGTAAGAAAAAAAAGGAAAAAAAATCTCTCACGATATTTTAAGAAAACAAAGTATATAAATGCACGAGCATCGAAGCCTCTATGATTTTCAATATTTTATTAGTTATATTATATTTATTAGTCACCATCTCATATAGTTATTCTTGACATATTAAAGTTTTTTATTATTATTTTTTATATTTTATAGAGTAAAAAAAAAAAAAACATATAAAAAATATCTCATTATATTTCCAGAAAACAAATTAAGCCGATAAATGCACTAGCATTGAGGTCTCCAAAGATTTTCTAGTATTCCTCAAAGAGGCTACAAGACCACAGAAAAAGAGTCCTTTCACTCTCCATCAATCTCATCACCCCACTCATATTCAGGCATGCATCAACATCCATGACTATTATGATAATCTTGTGGTGTCAATCAATCAATAGCCACCTGAGTTTATTTTTTTTGTTTTTTACCTTGCACACTGTAGTTTTAAACAGAGAACAGGGAAAAAATAATAATAATAATACTCTAAAAGAATTAAGTATCCCCTTCAGGAGAGAAAATGAGGATTTCCTCTCCTGAGGAAAATAGTGGCTCCTTCTGAAATCCCTTTTTCTTCCATTTCTCCTTACACAAAACTCCTAAATCAGAAACAATTACTTCTCCTCATCACTTTCATTTCCATTCCCCATCTCAGACAAAGTGTATTTTTTTTCTTCTTTGAGTGAGATAGTCTTCCTTTTCACAACATCAACATCTGAAATTCAGGCTCATCAAATGCTAGAAGCCCCATAGGGACTCTCTCTCTCCTCTTGTAATTTTTCTCTCTATCTTGGGTGAGAGAGTAGAAGTAGAAATAGTAAGAGCTCTAGAATAGGTAGCTAGAACACTCCATCAATTCAACACCATTTCCTTACAAAATCAAACCCTAAAATTAATCTCCAACAACATCATCCCAAAACCCCAAAAAAAAAGAGTTGCAGAAAACCCCAAATCAACATTAAATCCCATTCATGGATTCAATCCAAGAAATAGAAATCTCCAACTCTGAAAACACTAACACCACCATCAGCTCGTCAGCTGCAACATTATCACCACCTTCCACCACCACCGCCAGCAGCAGCAGCAGCACCCCTAGCCGCTACGAAAACCAGAAGCGCCGCGACTGGAACACCTTCCAGCAGTACCTCAAGAACCACCGGCCGCCGCTCTCTCTCCCCCGGTGCAGCGGTGCCCACGTGCTCGAATTCCTCCGGTACCTGGACCAATTCGGCAAGACCAAAGTCCACACCCCAATCTGTCCCTTTTTTGGTAACCCTAACCCTCCTGCCCCGTGTCCGTGCCCGCTCCGCCAAGCTTGGGGCAGCCTCGACGCCCTCATCGGCCGCCTCAGAGCCGCCTACGAAGAGAACGGAGGCATGCCGGAGACCAACCCCTTCGGAGCTCGAGCTGTCAGACTCTACCTCCGCGACGTCCGTGACTTGCAGTCGAAGGCGAGAGGGGTCAGCTATGACAAGAAGAAGAGGAAGAGGCCACCACAACACTTGCCTCAAGCACTGCCACCACCAGGTGCAACTTGAACATCATATGAGGCCTCTATATATCTATATATATATCTATCTCTCTCTCTCTATCTGTCTAGTGTAATTGCTTAATTTAGATAAATGGGTACAACTTGTTTTATTTAATGTCTGATCAGTGTTTTTATTTTTGTTTTGTTAGTTATTTTACTAGATTTGTAGTGGCAACTATAAAACTGCATGTGATCTTCTGTTTAGTTTCAGAGAATAATTTGCCCAGATCTGGCTTACATTAATATTTATATTTCTGTGTGTGTGTCTCTGTGTGTGTGTGTGAGTGAAAATTCTGCTTTTGATACAAACAGTACTTGCATTAGCTAGAAGCACTACTTGTTGTAGCAATGGTGTAGTGGTAGTTTGGTTCTGAAGTTGCAGGAGTACTTGCAGTCATTTTTTATGTGGAAGTGAGCCAATTGCTCACATACCGATATTTGAATTAATATTCGTATGTATGCATGTCTATATATATATATATATATGATTGTATATGCCGATTAAATATTGTATTGGCAAATTATTGTAGATTTTCTTTTTTTTGGGGTTTTTATTATTGGATGTGGAGGATTTGAATTTTAGATGTGAAGGTATATTGAGAACTTGTGAAGGTGTCATTTGTTTGTTATAAATGTTCAACACTACACATGTTTGTTGGTGGTATTTATATATTTCCACCTTTTCTACTGTTTGAAGACATATTATGTGTATTGAAATTAAAACACCATAAATAAAGGTTCAATTTTAGAAATGGTTTGTAGATGCTAATTTTGATATTATGCTAATGAAATCGCAGAAGTGCTTTTGAATGTTCTCAATTAATTAATTAAAAAGATTGATTATTGGTGTAGTATTATTTTATGCTTTGGAGGATAAGATAATGCAAAAAAAAAAAAAAAAAAAAAAAAGTGGCAGATAATCTTGTTATTTTTTTCTTTCTAGCTTCAAAATCCTTGGAAATTAACTCAAATTGGACATTCTGACCCCCTTTATTCTCTTATAATTAGCAAATAACACATTTTCCCTGACTTGAATTGTCAACCTTCCACTTCAAGAGATAGAGGAGATATCACTTGGCTACAGTCTTTGGTAAAAACTCTTACCCTCATTTACTTTTACAGTTTATTTCCCTTTCTTCTTGATGTCATACTAGTATCAAATGTTAAAAGCATAATTTTTCTAGCTAGCTAGGTAAAGTAATGGAAAAAAATATATAGTTGGAAAAAGATAATATATTCAAATCCATTTGTTTTCATAATTGATGCTAAATATGAAAACATGTATGCTAGCTAATAGGTTACTAAGTACATAGGTGATGAAGTGATTGAAGAAGCAATCTGTGAATGAGCGGGTCCTATCAATATGTGTCAGCATTAAATCGATATGATGGTGATACAATACCATCAATATATAGTTCATTGAAATATTTTTCCTAGGGATAGAGTTTTAAGGGCAATTTTTTCAATCATTCTAGCCGACAACACTTTTATGATTGGCTAATGTTGATGAATCCCTTTCATTTTTCTGAACTTTATTTGGTTAAATTAAGGTGAAACATCAACTATTCTTCTATACTTTTTTTTAAAAAAAGTGCTCATTTTATGTGGATTTGGACTTAAAGGAAATATCTAATAGTACATAGGATATATGTTAGCTAGGGAACTTTGTTTCCCTTTAAGCAATTCTAGTGGGGTGTGAGACTACCACTTTGAAAAATAAAGCATCTATTCGCAGTACTAATCATTATGATTCATTGTTGGTCATTTAAAGTGTTCTAATTTGATGAAGAGTAACCCTATAATGAAAAGAAGTCATAAATAATCAAAGCATTTTCTTCTCATGACATGAAACATATATTTAATTATTGACAATGGCCTGATTGTAGCTATGATTAAAATTTATTAGTATTTAATTAGAGACTTTTTTTTTCAACTATACACACACACACACATATATATGCTTGGAAATGATATCTTTCTTCTATGATTTCTATCTTTTTGTTTCTGTTGTGTTGTTATTTTTCATTGTCTCTATCTATCATGAATGTTCTTTTGTGTGTGTGTGTGTGTTGGGGGGGGGGGGGGGGGGGGTGGGGGGGGGGGGAGGGGTGGGGGGATAACCACAAAGAAGTAAATTAATTTGAATTATAACAAAGCTGATGATATTTCAGCTAGCATATATAACCACAAAGCTAGGTGCATGTAACTAGAATTCTAATTAGTCTCAATGTTTCTTTGGTTCACCTCTATTTGATTATGATATATATTACATTGAAGATTTGAAGGAGGACTATTGTAGTCATGCATTTACAATCTACTTATTAATATGATTGAATTATTTGATGCTTAATTTGGTGAATCAGATCTTCTCTTTATATATATTTCAAACATTGACTTCCACAACTCTCTTGTATATGCCATCTTATTGTATAAATGGCTTAATTTGCTTGAATTTCCTTGCTCGATCAGTTTGAATTTATTTCCACAACAGCATATAATTATCCCAAATATGATGAAATAGAGAAGCCATTCATGTGTGGGTGTATATATATATATATATCTTGATCTTCCCTATATAGTAGTATTTGCAATATTTAGGTTCATTAGTTTCTACGGGTTTTATTCATCCTTTTGTATGTGTTATCTCCGTCTGCATGTAAATATCTGTACATTTAAGTGTCTGGTTGTGAAGAAAATGAATTACTATATGCATAGGTGTAAGTCTACGGTACAAAGATTGGCACCAAGGCTTGGAGATATTCTGTTACTGCTAAGTTAATGCTTTTATATGTCATCTCTTTCTTTGCCACTATTTTTTCTTTACCACTCTGGTAACACCCATTATTCAGACCATTATTATATTTTGAGAGTTCCTGTAAGTTTTCATGCTATCAGCCTATCAGTATACTGAAAATTTAATTGTTGTTATATTGTCATGATCATCATATATCTGTTTAATTAGCTCGAATTGTTTGCGTCTAAGAAGAGACTAATGTTAAACTTGATATTTTTTGAGGCACCAGGCCCCACCAAATTCTTAACCACTTGAGCAACCTCTTGGGGTCTCTTCTTTAATTTATTTACTTTCTTCTTTTTTGTTAATTATTATTTTGCTCTTTATATGATCATTTGGCAAGAACTACCAAGTGCATCCAGTCATTTCGGGGCTGGAGATTCAATTTCGAGTTCAATGACTAAATTAGTTACATATGGATAGAATATGGCTTTCCCACAAAGTGAAACTAAGCGAGACCTGCACAAGCAGGTCAACTGGTAAGGTCTTTGGGGTACTTTGATTCCCTTAGTCTGAAGGTGAGATCTTGATTTAAATTATGCACCTAGTTTGCAAGCGAGTGCGTTCATGCATCTCGAGTTTGTAAATCATTCGAAAACTAAAAGTGACAAAATTAGAGAAGTGTTTATCCCATTATGTGTATTTGATAACAAAATTTAAATATCCTTTTATTAAAAAAAATAAATACCACTTAAAATGAGATAAAATTATAAACAACAATGACATCACTAAATGCTGATAATTTAAAATAAAAAAAAATCCAAAAAAAATCTTAATTTGCAATTATTATTTTAACCTTAAACACTAAAAATTCATCTCTTCAAATTTTTAGTACTTAATTTTAAATTTGATCAAATAGCATGGCACAGAGAGAGATGAAGTCACCATGGAGCATCATATATAATGGTTTAGAAGGGCACTCCCTCTTTTTCATTTTAGTTGTCCATATTTGACGGTTAAATTTTTTAAGGAATTGTCCTTTAATATTTTTTTATTGTATTGTAATGAATGAATTTTTAAATTTATCCTTTGTTTGAATTGTGGGGTTTCACAATAATGTTCATTCTTTTCAAAATAACGAAGGTAAATTGGGTTTATAATAATATATAGTATATTGTGTTTTGAAATGGGACTACTATTGGGATAACTAAAAATAGAAATATGAACAATTAATATATATGACAGAGGTAGTATATGTCAAAAAAAAAAAAAAAAAAAAAAAAAAAAAATGAAAAAACAACTATGGTACAGTTGGTTTATTGCAATTAAGTGATATGACAGGAAACTGTTAGAATTCTAACACACGCGAAAAGGCTGCGAGAGAAAGAAGGTGGTGGCAGTGGTGGTGGTGGTGGAGTGAAAATGACGGGAGAGAAAAACGGTGGTAGTGGAGGAGGAAGGTGTGCTGATTATAAAAGGTGGTGGAAGCAATTAATGTCGAAGAAAAGACACACAGAGAGGTGGCTGTGAGGAAGAAGAGGAGATAGAATCGATGAGGATACAATGGTCATTCGGAAAATGGTTGCTAATTTATTAGCAATTTAGTATTTTATTTGTTATAAAATAATAAGTGAGGGTATTTTAATATTATTACAATAGAAGTTAATTTTCTGAGAAACTTACAGAAAGTGTCGGAATCTTTTTCAAAATGTTTGTAGGATAATTTTAATAAATCTAAGAGAATTTAGAGGCAAGTTGTCTATATTGGTAGTAGGGCTATCCGAATCATTTTATATCGGGGAATAATTTAGACTTAGGATAATTTTTACTGATTTATGTGTATGGCCGGAACTAACGAGGTTATAATATTATTAATATTTTAAAAGTTAGTTTCTACTTATATAAAACTTATATTAAATTTATCCAACTATCGAACTAACTTCCGTTACTCTTTTTAGTAATTTTTTTTTGCCACAATTTTATGGGTGGTGTTCGTAGATTAGTGCGAGACACTAGTAGACTATAATTACACATTTTACATCCCTAACCCTGAAAAGAAAAAATAAAAAAAATATATATATATATAATTAGTACAATTCAAATGGTACTAGAATTTTTGAGGTGAGAAAAAAATAGATAAATTTTCACTATTATAGGGATGAAATTTACCATTCATGATATTTCACTGTTGAAAATTGAAAATACATAGACATATCGAAGAGGATTTTGATTATTCTTGTCCCTTTCGTATCTACAGATAGAAAGCGCGTTGCTTCATTATTGTTTTTGGTGGAATAAAAATAATACATTGATGGTGAGTATGAGAGAGAAATATACACCCTCGAAGGCGCGTTACATACGCGCTAGATATATTATGGCTTGAAAAAAATTTAATTGCCCTGCTTGTCAGGTGA